ATTGTTAATAAATCTGCACTGACTACTAAGTGTTTCAAGCATTTGAAGAGCTAAACATGACTATTAATGCTTCACTGATGCTAAAACAAAACATACCAGCATTTCTTGTCTGTCCTGACATCAGAGTGCCCTCTGCTGATAAACATGAAGGTCTCTGTGTGTACATATGTTCCTAATAGAGGGATTGGACTTGCTTCTTATCCCTATTCATCATCCTTTGAAGGAAAATTATAATGTTCATGAAATAAAGGAGGGTATATCTTTACCGACAACCAGGTTTGTATACACAGTTCTCTATAAATTATTTTCTGTACAGATTATTGTAATTATAGATTTGCCCATGCATTGTTTGGATATGAAGATGCTGTGGATGCTAAGGAGTTAAAGCTAGTAAGGAGCTGCTTAAATCTTTTCTTCCTTCTTCTGGTGTCCAGCAATGTGAGCATCCTGATAAGTTAGTTGCCTGGTAAAAACAGATAGAAACCAAGATTTTCAGAGATCAAACCTTAAGCAGCAAAAAAAAGTTTAAAAAGCAAATTTCATGTGTTACATTTATCTTTTCAGACAAGGTTTTTCCCTTTGTTCTTTCAGATTTATCTCCTTCATGTGTTGTGAGTTTGTTTATTGTACCCTTAAGGCTGTTGTGGCATTGATTATGCTAACTCTCTTCCAGATTTTTGTAACATACACAAACATTCTTGTATTGTCTGAAACAGCCCTGAAACAGCCTTTAAAAGTACATGCTTCCCCCCCAGACATCTTTGAAACAGAGCAGCTGTCAATTATTATTACCAACTGTAAACAAGATTTTATCCAAAGAAGAGTTGTACGTATGTATATACATATAACTGGGCATTTTTTCTGAAGCAATCTGATCAAAGTACCTTAGTCAATGGCAACAGTAGTGCCCCACCCACGATTTAAAGCCTCAGTTTTGCAGATGTGAATACAGAACAATTTTCATTGTTCACTTTCATTGTTCAGGCTAAACAATATAGCTCAGAAAGCAGTTGTAAATCAACACTGAAATATTCATTAGGAGAGGACATTGCTGAGTTTTGGAGGGTCTATGATGCAGTATACCTTCCTGAATATATTGTCCGTAGTGTTTGTCCAAAGGAAGTCCCTTTAGCTGGCACTCATCTTAGTTTGAGCATAATGGAAGTGGTTGCTAATTGCCAGTCAACATGTAAACATTTAAATGTTACATGGGGATCTTATACGTACAATTATTTTATTATCCCAGACAATGTGAGTAAAGGGTCATTCCATTTGAAATCATTATTCTGTTTACCTCACAGCAATCAATGTTAGGGTGTTCAGCATTGGTGAGATTTGAGCATGGTTTCTCATTCAGGTCCAGAAATCACCATCTTCTACACATCTACAATTTCTCTTAAGGCAAAACAGTTTTGGAAGTTGATGTTGAAATCAAAAGGAGTGAGGTCATAAATGGGTGTTTTTATTTGTTTCATATGTAATGTCCAAAAAGTCTCTTGCATAAAATGTTTAAATCAAAGCTTTGAACATCACAACATCAAAATAAAAGCACATTCATGTTTTAGTTATCCCCAGCATGTATGCTTAGGTGTCTTCAAAATAATGGTAAATTTTATTTTTATGAAAATTTATTACACATAGTGTAGTGAAATTCACAAACAAAAACCTGCAAGAACAGACCTTTTTTATTTTGAATAGATCTGTGGAATGGAGAAGAAAATACATTAGGTTTATTCTTAATCTCTCTCTAAATTTAAAAACAAATCACTGTTTTAATACAAAGATATTATTATACATTCTCTTAGTTACAACAGCAAAACCATTGTATAGACTTATCTGATTGGGTACTGTAATTACCCCAGGTTGACTACAAGAGTGCAAATCAGCTTTCTTTGGGTACAACAAAGACTGTGATATTACTGACAAGCACCACTACTGAATTAAAAATACTATAACATGTGTCTTGCATTGTTCACATATGTAAATAATTTTTGCCTTTATGTTTCCTTTTTAATTATGATTTTTGCCATTTTAAATTTGTTTGCATTGTAACTAGGTCATCCCATAATCTTGCCTCATCTGACATATTCAGTTTGGTGAGTAATAATGAAGTGATAAAACAAAATGTTGCTTTGAATATTTTCTGTAAGCACATTATCAAATTAGCAAAGGACAGTCCAGCTTGGGTTGTATTATTGCATTTCTGCTTTCTGTAAACTTGAAGTGTTCTACCACCTCCTGCCACTAGATGGCTCAATAAGCAAGCTTCTATGACTGGCTGAGCCTTGATCAACACAGACCTGACAACATGCATTACTGAAGCTTGAACTTCTCTGTTTCACTCATTTGTTTTTTTGTTAATAAATGTGATTTGTCATATTGCCTTTTGGGGAGTATTTGAGGACTTCAGTGTAATTTGCATATGTATTGGTTAATGTGTTTTCCTCTCAAATGAAAGTTTTTACACTTTTCAATCCGTCCCTGGCCCAGTGTGCAGTGCTTGCTTTTTTCAAAACCTCCTTTATCATTCCAGTTCCAAAAAACAGATCTCCTGCCTGAATGACTACAGACCATTTGCCTTAATCTCTGTCATCATGCATGCTTTGAGAGACTCATGCTGCATCACGTTAAAATCATGATGCCTTTCTGTTAATGATGCCATCAGTCTGACTCTGCATTACATTCTTCAGCACCTGGACAGCTCTATCACTTATGCCCGTATTTTGTTTGTAGTCTTTAGCTCTACTTTCAGCACTATCATCCCTGATCTACTTCTGGATAAATTGAGGCATCTCAATGTTCCCCATCCTGTCTGCCATTGGATCCATGACTTCTTAACCAACAGGAAACAGTACATCAGAGTGGGCGACCATGTTTCGGACCCCGTCCTTCTCAATACTGGCACTCCGCAGGGCTGTGTGCTTTCTCCCACAATCTACTCACTTTATACCAACAACTGTACATCTACCAGCGAATCTGTCAAACTTCTCAAGTTTGCAGATGACACCATTTTGGTTGGTCTTATCACAAACGGTGACAAATCAATTGTCATTGATTTCAATGAATCAATTGAAATCAATTCTTCAGAATCAATTCTTCTTCAGGAAGAAGCCCACCCCTCTCCTTCCTTTGGAAATGGTTTCATGGTTAGCAGAGCAGAATCTTACAATTTTTTTAGGAACTGTCATCCAACAGGACTTTAAATGGGACAGGAACATCATCACAATTATCAAGAAGGCCCAAAAGTGCATGTACTGTACATTTTGAGACACCTTAAGAAATTTGGGCTGTCACAAGCGCTACTGGTCCAATTTTACACAGCCATAATAGAATCAGTCTCTACATCCTCTATTTCTGTTTGGTTTGGCTCTGCATCATCACACTCCAAGCGGAAATCACAGCACATTGTGCAATGTGCAGAGAAAATCATCGTCTTCCAGCTCCCCCTGCTCACAGATCTATACTCATCTTAGAATGAGGAGGAATCATGGCTGACCCCTAATACCCAGGCCACTCTCTCTTCCAGCATGCTCCCTCTCAGCAGAGACCAAGAGTAAGAGACTGAACACCAGGACTGACTGACACCGGTACAGCTTCTTCCCCCAGGCCATGACCCCTATAAACAAGGACACTGCTCTCATCCCTCCTCTGGGATCAGTTGTACAGTTTCATTTAATGGCACATGCTACCGATAGTTTCTGCAAATATACGCAGTATTCACTGTACATTTTATTACTAAACAGTATATACTTTTATATTGTACACATCATTGAACTTTTTTATCTGTAGATTTTTTTTTGTTACTTATTATTCTTATTATTCTATTATTTTTGTTATTCTTATTGGAATTGATGTCTACAGCTGCACCAAGAGAAATTTCTCGTATATCTTGTGCTTGGTGAATAAAGTTTATGATTCTGATTCTGATTTCAGGCTTTGTTTGATCACCTTGATTTGGAGTTATGTTTTCTTCACTACCGGGTGAGTTTACAAAAGGACCATCCTGGAGGTGCTTGTTTTAATATTAGAATTTTCATATATCTACTTTTTTATAGTTTATGGTTAGTGAAATACATGTGCTTCCAAAGTACAGAAGGAATTGATCGTGATACAGGTCAAATTATCGTTCATAGCTTGCATGTCTTACATGCGTACTGTATGAATGCATATTGTCGGAAATCGATATTTTGTCAAGTATAAACATATATCACAAAGGGCATTTTTTGTGAAATGTCAACATATTTAAAGGCAAGCCCCATGACGCCAAGAAACAAAGTTAAATAACATGTATATAAAATCTCACAGGATTTCAACACCACGCACTGCCAATTCGAACGTTTCTTTTTGCGTGTATAAAACTGGTGAAAACCCACCCTGGAAAATAATGGTAACAGTGCATGAACAGAAGAGGCGCGTTGTGATGCAATATACCACAAGTGTCAGAGTTTAAAATGCTCTTCAGCAGAGAGTTTAACAATTCGGGAAGCGCGGTGCATGCTGTCATGCTTTTGTAAATAGCACGTTCGAACTTACACTGCGGTACTGAAGCACGATGGACGGTTTCCTGGAAGCCGGACTATGTGCACGTGTTTCCAATTGCATAGGCTACAATGAATATTGTTTTTGGGATAAAGATTAGCAGAAAAGACCCATGCACCCATATATCCTGTCGCACTGATCTGAATCAAAATGCATACACATTCATACTTATGTCCGATAAATAAACAATTGTTAAATTATCAACTAATTTAAAATTTGAGCGGTTGATATGGTGATAATAACAGAACATATATCGAAACCCTGAAATGCCTTTTTTTTAAATATGTTGCTCATATTGAATCGTCGGGAGCACTAGCCTTCTCCTAACTCGCTTGCACCCAGGCAGCAGGAGCAACACACTGCAGCTGCTGCCGTTCCCTTGAACTCAACGCGCTGACGTTGCGGACCCGGCGTATAGCGTCCTAGTCTTGCGTGCGTCCGTCTCCATGCCACGACTCGCTGTTTCTTTCCATCTTCGCAAGCGGAGGATCCTTGAAGCTCTGTAGCGGCAGTCTGAGTGTAGGCCTCCTCAGAAACTGCACTACTTCACCTCTGTCTGCAGCCGTGTCTACTTCTGACAGGCTGCACAACAAGCTCTGTACTTGCCTCTGCCTGCAGAAACTCAGCGGGTAAGGTTTATAGATCCTCATCGCTGCTCATTTATGTCGCTGACAGGAAAAAAGAAACGTTTGCTAATTTTTGCACCTGTAATTTTTAAATATTTGACAATTACCGGTAAGCAATTAAATTCACCCATTATTATAGATGCTCAGTGCTTCGATTCAATTGTAATTTCCCATGTATTTTTTCTTTAAAATATGCATATATTTTTCCTCGATGTGTATTGTTATCTACAAAAATATTTATTTGTAAACCATCTATTATTCAGGTGTTACAAACACAACTTTAGTCCAGAGACCTTGATCACACCCTTGCAAACATCAGAGAAACACAGTAGCAGTATAATTGGTTACTTAGAGTCTTCAAAATAGTCTTGTTCTGATGCACTTTGTTGCATGCTATTCAGAATTGAGAGCCAATGTTGCCACAATGGGATGAACTGGGTCTCCTCTTTTGCCTTTGGATAAACACAAATGGCAAGAGAATCCTTAATGCTGACAATCATGGAGTCACATGAAAAAGAAATTGATAAATTCCCAAGTTCGTCATTGATTTTGGTTATGCATTTGAACCTTAAAGCTTTTGAATCAGGATTATTTGTGACATATTCTGAACATAAGCACTACTGAAGTGCTATTGTATGCTGAAGAATAAATATGTAAAAATGTTTTTACTCATATTCATTAACCCCAACAAGAAACCACAGTTTAAGCCAATGGATATTTATTGGTAAATGTGATTGCATTTATCATTGATGCAGTTTTATTTCTTTTCAGATAATTGTTTACCATTGTTAGATTTTTCTTTTTACTGGTCCTGTTTATGGTTTTTGACAGTTAATATAGAAACTAATAAAGAGGAAATGTATCTCTAATTGGAATTCACATGCCAAATATTTTCTGTTAAATACTGTTTCAACAATTAAATAACTCACTGCAATATTTGAACAGTTGGATGCTATTTAGATTCTGAATTGTGCCCTCATTTTATAATAAATAACAATTTATCCTGTGTTCTTATTCTAAAAGTTTAATTAATCCTAAACAATCTGCACAAACTCAGCATATCATTTGCAAAACATTGTATAAAGAGTTTTGTGTATACAGTATATGCACTGTTTTGTACGTAGTGATTATGTAGCATTCTGTATATGGATGTTAGTTAAGTTGAAGATGTTATACAAAAAAAATCAGAAGACCTATTTTTATTAACTGAATGCAGAAGAAATGTAAATGTTGTAAACTACAAAGTGTTCAAAGTATAATCTGAGAGAACCGACATTAGTAAATGCACAGTCTACTTTTTTAAATCATTTTTTTCATTAATTTAATCTTTTTAGTGATGATGACATATATTGAGCTTGTGTAGTAACAATTTAAATTTGTTTAACAATCATAAATAAGAAGCCAAATGTGCATTCTGTTAAACGAATATTCTATCTGCATGTGTCTATCTTTCTAACTAGTTTAATTAGTTAAACAAATTGTATTATTTGGGCCTATGTGTCCATTTTATACTGATTTCAATTTATACATTTTGTCTTACCTGACTGGTATTATTTTTGTTAAAATAATGGAAGAGTCAATGGTGTGAATAAAATTGAGAAATTAACACCTCAATCTGAAAGCGATTACCTTTGAATTTGGATAACTAATTTGGAGTTGCAAATAAAAGATTACCAACACGACCTCCAACGGAAAAGATGAAAACTGTAAAAATATATTTAAGTTTTCAAGAGCACTGAAATTGGAAAGTTTTCCTATGGTCATGGTAGATATATCAGTAAGAAGACCAACAGTAGAACCAGTAATAGTTTTTATAGGTTAAGGTATTTCTGTTGTTTCACAGTTGTCTGCAGTATTATTCTTAACTGATTAAAGTATGCATGGAGAATGTGAATTGGGATTGAGCTTTAAAAACCAAAAAAACTGTGTTATTGCTAATTTAAAAAGAAAAATCAATAATAGCCTTACTTGATCTTCACATTAAACATTATAGTATGAAGGCTGCAGAAAAAAGGCAGATCCAAGGCCTGAAAATTGAAGGATGATTCATATCAGATGTCCTGTATCAGATTAATGAAAAATCTCTTTATGTGCTGTACATTGTTACATTATTTAGATTAATAGTGCCATGCATTACAATATTTTTAGTTTATTACATTGCTAAATATTTTACATTGAAGTATAAAGACAGGTGCCTCTTTGAGCTAAAAATGTCACCTGCAATTCAGCTATTCTAATGTAAGATTTTAATTTTCAAGGATTATACTTCTAAGACATCAGGTCAGAGCAATCCTTGGAAGTGTAATATCTCTGTGACACACTGCACTCAACGGGAAGATGTTTCTTGTTGTATTTCACAAAAACTTATCTCTGCTATCTACCTCTGAATTAAAACTTCCGTGACTCCAAACATCCCAAATACAACATAAATCAAAGCAGATTGGATAGCAGAGAGCTCTCTAAATCTTAATAACATTCTTAGAGATATGAATTAAGTTATTGTAATTTTGGCCCTTATTTTTAAAAATACTTCCTATGGGGATTTAAGGGTCTAATACTGGGACCTTAATATTTATTTAATTGCTATGAGCAATGCATTTAGCTTAAAACACTACACATAAACTCAATTTATACCAATGAAGTGTAAAATAACTACATGGTGCATGTTGTGTAAATTATTGTTGATGTTATTATCATGTTTAGTTGTGGAATCTGCAGTTTTCTTTGTTTGCTCTTCAGTCAGTGCATCTGGTGCTCAGATGATGTGATCCCTGTTTGTACAGTACTGCATGTTCATTTCTTTGTTGTATCTATAATCTCTAATTAACCTTCCTCTCTTTACTGCTTACTAATTGGTGACTGTCTAAAGGGTTTAGATCGTAACGGCAGACAGAGAAGCCCTAGTGGGCTCTAAGAAATAATACCAACATTTCTTGTGGTCAACTTTTTAATAATACAAATATTATAATTAAAATACCTTGAATTGAAATAAGACGTTTTAAAAGGCAGTGCAACTACAAATTGTTACATGAATCTAAACTGTATATTATAACAAACAGCTACATATAAACAATGAATAAACTATAACATATTCATTACTATTTGTTATACTGTATATTTTAAGGCAGTGAGATTCCCGATTTGTTAAGAGCTGATCTGGTATGTTTGTAGCTGTTGTTTGTAGGAATGTACATAATTTCATTGCAATACGTTCTCTATCACTCTTTTGCCATCGGTTTTTGCTTATGCAAATGCTTATTTGTGCTTCAGCATTTTGACTATCTCAGGAGTGAGCCCTTTTTTAATTTCACATAAAATTTACTTACCTGTGCCACATGAGCTTACGTCAGTGTATCAGAGGCTTTACACTACCAAGATGACTTTAAAATTAGTAACATTTTATTTTCATTACGAAGTCATATTGTTTTGAACAAGTATAGTATACTTATATTTGTAAGTTGCATTTTTCATTTTGATTGGCTTGTTGAAAAGCATAAAACTGCCAATATATAAAAAGTTACATATTCTCTTCTGATGTTTATTATTTGGGATTTCTTTTATCGCCAATGACTACTATAACGTGATTTGATATTGTGCAATCTGTCAAGAGCTTTTTCTCTAGAATTCGTTCTATACATAAATACAATTACCCCAATTTGTTTAGGATTTAAGAACGAAAAAAAGTCGTTCAGGCTTTATCCTAAAAGAACATTAAATCAGTGTCTCTATCAAATTCACTCGTTTACATAATTATCTAGAAATATTTATTTATTTTTGTTTGTTTCCTGCTACACACCGGTCCCGTTTATTATTCTTGCGAAATAACTAAAGGGAAAATCGTTGCTCTGTAGAAATCTCGCGTGTCCAGCGTTTTCCATTGAAAGATAATTATAGTAATTCTCTGCTACTGTATATAGGAAAATTGGAATTATGTTTAGATTATGCATTGCGCTTTTATTTTATAATGAACATCAGTTCGCCGTATAGTCTTGTTATAATTAAGTAATCTTCTCAAATCCACCCCATGATGAGCCAGATCCCATGGTTTATGCGAACGTGAGCGGGTTTTTTATATTTGCTTGTAATGCCGTAATATTTGCATAAGTATTGAACCATTATCCTATTTTTACCTTGGTTCCTCTCAATAAAAATACCAAGTGGAACATTTCCATGAATACGTTATGGCCTGTATTTGGTATGAAGGGAGTCACACGGTACACGTGTAAATTGCCTTTGTCTTTTCAATATAACTTCTTTATTAATAATAAAACTATTATGTAAACGTTGAAAATATGAACTTGGCTGTGTATCCGAAGTAAACGCATTACGTACTGTAGCTCAGGTCCTGAATAGATGCGCAGATGTCGTGAATCATCCTTTTGATTTTTGACTAGTTAACTGCACAACATACAACATCTATCGGGCTTAGGTGGTAAACATCATCAAAAAATAGTCTAAACAGTTACATCATCTTACAATTAACATTCTTAATGCAACTTGGATATAATTAATGTTAAATATCTAATCTATGGCTTGAAACTGGTGGTAGCCTGAACTCTGTTCCATTGGATCGACCGATGTGTCTCGCCTTCTGCAGCCAACTCGAAAATCTAATTACTTCATTTTGCTGAATAAACAAACACACAAATACGTAACGAACGAATGAGCGAATGAGTGCCATAAAATTATAATATTAATGCTTTTCATGACTGATCTATAAACGTAGTGGATAGTTATTTTGAGAATTTTACTCTAAAAGTCAAGGGCAGCTAAGTCTAGTTCTCTTAATGTTTTTAATAAAAGGAATTTTATCCTTAAGATTTTGTAGTATGTTTTAATACTTAAGACCACTTTATGAGGTAGAAAATGTACTAAAATTAACAACATTAAAATAATCTTCAACATACTTTTAATTGAGAACTTTAAATCGTTTTAGAAAAAATGAGACTTTTCATTTTCCAGAAACGACTAGAACTGAAAATCCAGTGCAGTAGTGCATGGTG